ACGGGCCCCCCTCCCCCAAAAAAACCTACCACAAGGGCACACACATGACGTTTTAGAAATTAAAAATCAAATTCAAAATGAAGGAAACAATTTGTAAGTCACCAACCTTTGTTTAAATGTTTCTTGTTCATTTAAACTCAAATGTTTCATCTCAAAAAAAAAAAAAGGACCATAGTCCTGTGAACCAATTATCCAAATCTCCATCTAAATTAAAAAAAAAAGCTGACCTTTTAACTTATGTGAAGAGTATGAACAGGAGCTAGTAGTATAGTAATACTCTACCTGAAACAACTCACCGCCTGCTTTGAGAGCTCTTTACTATGGTCTCATAAAGCTCTGCAGTTTGGCTCAAATATCAAGGACCACCCATTTAACTTGCATTGTTAACTTGCTATTATAATAACTTTCTTCTCAGATTCATCAAAGAAGGAGAGGGGAAGAAAAGAATTGCTATTATAATAACTTTTTTCTCAGGTTCATTTGCCTAAAAACTTCTTTCATAAATGCTTGATCATGCTTTTGACTTGGTTTTCTAGTAGAGAGCACAATTATATAATGAACTTTTACTTTTATACATTTACACTAGGTACTATGAAATTTTATTGGATCATTTGACTAGAGTTAACTGTTCTGATATCATTTGCCCCATAACTTTTGAACCTTATTTATTAACATAATAACATCTGGTAATATTTTCAATAGCGATTATTCAGGACTTCTTCTTAGCTTGAGTTATACATATTCCGTCTTTCAATTGCAATACAAGGACTTGAGTGGAATGATTTTTTTTTTGTCTTTACCTAGATTGAGTATAATGACCGGCCGAATGCAGTGCTTATCATGAAATCAAAGAAAAATGCAGATCTCGTGATCAAGTCCGTGGACTTAGAGCCAAGTTAACATGCTTTTCAGTGGCAGAACATATAGCATGAATAAATTGTATGCTAAAGCCCTTCCAACCTCCATTTCAAAATTGTTAGCCATGTGAGTCATAACTAATAAGCTTATTATGCAAATAAATATTTCTTCATACTCCCATTTGTACATTTGTTATCATATCTCTATTCTGTAAGTTTACTGGTCTGGAGGACTATTAATGGACCTTTAAGTGATTACATCTGGTTTAATTCTCATAGTTTCTTCTGAATGCGGAAAATTTTATTTGATACTTTCAATTAACTATGGTGAACGTGTGAGTTTTTGATCTGTTTGATTATTTATTTATTTTTTATTCTTTACTAGCATTGTTTGAGTTGCTAGCCGCTAGTTGCTGGTTCTGATCCTAGTCAAGTAGAGCAGATCCTACTGGTGGTGTTTAGTTTTATCAGAATCCTAGGATTTAAGGAGTTATGCTATGCTTTGCTCTGTTTTATTTCAGTGTTCGAACTTTTATAGTACTTAAGATTAACAATTAAAACACATTCACTAGCTGGAGCTTCTTATTTCATTCTATACTCTCATCTGTTTTTAAGAAAAGAAGGCCCTATATATTACTTGTTGCTTATCATAATCCTTGTCACTTCTGATTGTATGTGACGAGGCACATTTATTGCTTTTTCCTTGGGGGCTGTTTGGTTGCTTTCCTCCATTTTCCAACTCCAACATTTCTTCACTTTTTGGTGTTTCATTCACTTTCACGGAAAATTATTTCTTATGTTTGTTTTGTCAAAAATATGGAGAATAATTGCTTTCCACCACTTTCATTTGTTTGGTTCAACTTGAAAAGAAAAGAAATTAATTGATGTATGGATAGATTCCCTCATTTTCTAATGTTTGTTTCAAACTACAAAAATGAAGAAAATTTGATTGTGGTCACCATGGTGTGATTACCACCCATATAAGACAAAATCATTGGCAACAAAAAATGAGGGGTCAACTTGCTTTCCATCACACAAAAGTGTGAATATTTGAGGGAGAAATTTCAAATCATTTAATAACGTGAGGGAGTAATTTGCAAAAATATTTAAAGATTTGAGGTAGTAATTTGCAAAATGTCCACATATGAACATTTTAGGGAAAATTTTAAAAAACTTTAAAGACTTAGGGGACTCAAAATTAACTTTGAAGACATAACATGCGCCCTGAAATCTGTAGAGAAAGGTTCTATTATGCTCAGTTTTGATCTATGTCGTCATAATATGCTTCGCCATGAAATCTAAAACAACAATGTTGGTTGCATGTATTGCCTCGCCAATTGATTACTAGTATAAATTTTGGCTGCATACATTAAAAAAAGATCATCATCATAGCTGTGCCTATAAACATGAAAATTGTGAACAATTGAAAACTCAGAGCTCAAAATTAGCACCCATGAAACAAAAAATATACCACCATCTATCTGATTGAGCTCAACCTGAGCATAGACCTCTCAAAATAAGAACTCATGAACGGAACATAATTGCCTTCAACCTGAATGAGCTCAACATGAGCTTATAATCATGTAAATTCCTAACAAAAGAGAACTCAAAAGCTCAACAACTCAGAAAACCAAATGGCATAGCTCATCAAATAATATGCTCAAACTGAGCATGTATGCGTGATTGAGCTCAACTTGTGCATATAATCATTAAAACACCAAATAAAAGAGAACTGAACATGAACCATCAACATGAAAATAGCAAACCAAATAAAATCAAATTTGAGAGCTGAGAACCGAGTATAAACTACCCAAAATTAGCATAAAGTACCAAATATAAACCATCATTGTGCTTATTGATCCAACCTGTGTATATAAACACAAAAATCGTAAATAAAAGAAAACTCAAAGAGCTCAACAACTCAGAGTTAGCACCCATGAAGCAAACACTGTCCATCTGATTGAGCTCAACCTGAGCATATACCAAACAACATAAGCACTCATGAGCCGAACATAGTTTTCTTCAATCTGATTGAGCTCAACATGAGCTTATAATCATGTAAAAACCTAACAAAAGGGAACACAAAGAAATGACTCAGAAAACCAAATGACATAACTCAATCTAATAATATGGTCAACTGAGCATGTACGCATGAATGAGCTCAACCTGTGCATATAATCATGATGACACCGAACAAAAGAGACCTCAACATGAACCATCAACATGAAAACACCTAACCAAATAAAATCAAATTTGAGAGTTGAGAACTGAATATAAACTACATAAACATTAGCACAGAGTGCTATACATAAACCATCATTGTGCTTATTGATCTAGCCTGTGTACATAAACCATCATTGTGCCATACATGTAACCAGTAGCAAACCAAGACTGAAACCAAATTGGAGATCAATATTGAAACCAATACTGAAACCAAATCAACATCTGCTGGAAATTCAGAAGGCAATACTCGCTGGAAACCAAACAAGGCTGAAACTAAGGCTAAGACCAATACAGAAGCCATCCAAGACGCAAACCAAGGCCGAGACCAATACTGGTTGAAATTCAAAGGCAACACTGACTAGATATTCAAAGGCAAGCACACAACTGAAACCAAAGGCTGAAACATTGGTTGGAAATTCAGATGGCAAGCACACAAAATATAATGTAATGCACTCAATTGGCTGTAAATTCAGAATGCTTAGCAACAACCCAACATTGACTGGTAGTTAGTAGGCAAGCACACAACTGAAACCAAACCAAGGCTGAAACCAAGGCCGAGACCAATACAGAAGCCATCCAAGACTACATCGGATATGAGAGAAGCAAACTGAAACCAAGACTCGAACAACCCAAGTTTGAAATCAAGTCAGAAACTTAATACAATTTATAGAAAATGTGCTTAGAAAAAGACCATTTTCTTCATTATCTGCCTCGCCATAAAGTTTATAATAGCAATGTTGGCTGCAATTATCATAATGACCCTACATAATAAACATTGTCATCATGGATTGCCTCGCCAATATATTATTGTTATAAACTTTGGTTGCATATCTTAAGAATATTCCATCATCATAACGCATAATATGCATACCTCTTTAATTCCATCATAACACATACATGGAAGTTATGCATATGATTATGCAGGTTGAGCTCATATGACAACAGGCTCAATTCTTTGTTTTGTTTGACAGTAGACTAACAGAAGCAGATAATAGGCGGGTTTTTCATACATTCTGATATTTGGCCAGCAACTAAAGGTTGTTAATTCAACAAACAGAACATTCATATTATTATACCTAATATCACCTTCAAAATATTAAGCGATTTGAAAAAGTTAGTATTGCAAGTTAACCACTACAAATTTCCCTTAAATATACCTGATAATTTTTTTAGTCACCTTGTAAGACACCAATAATTCAGCAAAGAATCAATCTTTTATCAAGTTATAACAAACCCATCGGTGTTCGTGAGGTACAGCAAACCCCCATCCCTAACAACCCTAATCGTCGACCCGATAAAAACCCCGAATCACTCCCAAACGAATCCACATCCACCAAAACGTTAGAACTTTATCGTAATCTAATAATCTAACAACCTAGCTCATCAAAACGTTAGATCTTTGTCATGCTATTCAATCATTCAAACCACAACATATAAAAGTTCACAAGAACCAAAAGCTAAAATATCGAAAGCATGCAACATCACAAAATCCAGATCGACATACCGAGCTTGGCAGAATCCCAAAGAGGCTGAGCCCTAGATTGGAACGAAATGGCGGCAACAAAAGAGGCCGAGTCCTAGATTGGAAGCTCAGCTTTGCAAGGCGGGAGGGAAGGGGAAGGAGGAAGAAGAATGAAAGGAAGATGGAGTTCCTCTTTGGCACGGGAGAACGAGGAGGAGGCAGGAGTAGGCGGCAGGAGAAGTAGCAGTAGGTATTCTTTGGCGCAGGAGAAGGAGAAAGAGGTTGGAGAAAGAGGAGGCGGTGATTGTAAACCCTAAACTTTTCCCCCTTTTCTCTTCGCTTCTGTGCGAGAAGATGATTTTCTGCGTTTTTTTGGTAAAATCGGGAGTCTGGGGGCGGAAAACGGAGCGAATAAAAATCCATCGTGGCAACCACTTTTTGTTTTCATTTTGGGGAACCAAACATCAGATTGTGGGGAAAATATACAAATTTTTCCTGTGCCAAGAGGAAAAAGAGGCTTTTCTTTCACTTTCAGGTCTGTTTTGTGCGAACCAAACAGACCCTAAAAAGAACCTGCTTAATTTACATGTATCTTTCTGACATTTTTTAAAGTGGTTGGGTTTCTCAAGTAATGAGAACGCTGTGAATACTGTAACTCCTGAATGCATGGATAACTTTCTTGGATTCTTAAAATGTCATTATTTGAATGGAAAATGATTTAAGGACCCAAAATATGGGACCAAGGAAGGAGACAGGTGAGGTGTCCTCTCCCTATTGCATAATGAGTTGGCTATACCAACTTATTATGCAATAGGGAGGGGACACCTCACATGTCCCCTCCATTGGTCCCATATTTTGGGTCCCCGTAGCAACACTCTATTTGAATAGTGTCCTCTAGCGTATTAGAATTTGTTCCTTGATGTTTCCTAGGAAAAGAGGAAGCTGATGTCAAGTTTCTGAAGAGTAACCCCAACATCTAAAGACAAAACTAGGCCAGCTTTTGTTTCTTCTTTCTTTAAGCTTTACTTCACCATAACCTGAGAGACCAATGACACAGGATAACCATCAACCTATATCTAAATATACAAATACTTCATCCATATCCCTTTAGGGCTTTAGAATATTTCCTTCCAGTTGATGAACATGTCAAGGCTTCTTAAATAGGACATCATTTATTTTCTAAAAGCCATCATATTTAGAGATTAAGCTTGAAGCCCCCTTTTCTTAGACTTCCTGATGGATGCTCTACCCAAGGTTCCACGCAACTGTGTTCTTCCAATGGCTGCTGTAGTGAGCACAGCACCATCTAAAACCGATCGAGCAATCAAGAAGGAAGAAGAAAGGGCAATCTCCATTACCTATCCTGATCATGAAGACTTCAGCAGAGAGTGCAAACTTGATGTGAATGATTTGACATGGATGGAGACAATAAAAAAGAAGCTTAATGAATCGCACCCCGAGACTTATCAATTTGCGCAGTGCACTATCTTTAGAGTCCCTCGAAATATTCGGCGTGGAGACCCCAAAGCTTATGAGCCCCTCGTTGTGTCTATAGGCCCTTATCACTATTGTAGTTCACAAAGGGGTACTCGTGGTTCTATGCAAGAACACAAGTGGCAGTGTTTAAGATACCTGCTTTCTAGACATAGATGTAGAGAAAGAGAGAGCAAGATTTTGGAGAGATGCTTGTCACAGTTGAAGGCATTGGATTGTGAGGTAAGGGGTTGCTATTCTGGAACTTTAGAGTTTGATCAACACAAGCTTTCTTCAATTATGTTACTTGATGGATGCTTCATTGTACATATCTTGTTAAGGCAAGTGCTTAATGAGGAGGAGGAAGAAATTATCCACGGCCCATTGCTAGGACTGCGATGGATATGGAACTTGATAGTGTATGATTTACTGAAAGTCGAGAACCAAATGCCTTTCTTCGTTGTCCAAATCCTGTTTGATATATTGCAAACTCCTGCAGACAAAGGCATCAATCTTCAAGATCTTGTGCTCAAACTCTTCCATGACATCCATCCTAATAAATCTGTAGCATTCACTTCGATACCCAGAAACAAAATCCATCACTTGCTTCATCTCTTTCATTCAACTCTAATTCCTTCAACAGAACAAATACATGTGACAACTCCACCGGAGTGGATCCCTTGTGCATCTGAGCTCAAGTTAGCTGGAATAAAGTTCAAGCAAAACGAAGCAGCTGAAAGTTTCTTAGATGTGTCATTCAAAGATGGCTTAATGGAGATCCCTCAGCTTCGAATTTACGACTATACCTCCTCTGTCTTCAGAAACCTCATTGCCTTTGAGCAGTGTTATCCCGGCTCAAAAACTTATATCACCATCTATGCTGCCTTCATGGATTGTATCATTGACACTGCCGAGGATGTGAAGTTGCTTGATTTGAAAGGGATTCTTGTGAATAGGTTGAGCACCGATGAAGTAGTGGCTGATCTCTTCAATCAGTTATGCAATCAGATACACTATGCTTCCGATATGAATTATCTTGGAGATGTGTTCGTTAAGGTGAAGAAGTACCATGAGTCGAAATGGCACAGATGGAGGGCGGGGTTGATTCGGGACTATTTTAGCAATCCATGGGCAGGCATTGCGGTTGTGGCTGCAATAGTACTTTTTTTGCTGACAATCGAGCAATCAATTTTTGATGCCCTTTCTTATTTTTACCCTTCTTAGAAATTGTGCGTGGACCGTTTGTTCTCTTCCCATATTTAAGTTTCTTCCACCGTGTTAAATTTGAAGAATTTGGATATTAAGCTCATCTGTTTTGCGTCAAATACTGTTCTTTTGTGGTGATAATATCCCATTAACGCTCAACGTGTGCAATAGGTTTTACAGTTTTTTCTGCTATGGCAGATTTGTTGCTACCATCATAATTCTAAGCTATAATCACGAGAATCGTATAATTGTATGTCTTTGTCAACTCTTTTCAAACTCTTACCCTTCTCGTTCGCAGCTTTTTGGTCGATCCTTGTAGCGATTTCATGGTCTGTCTCGTTTGTTTCCTAACCTGCATCACAGTTGGGGAACATTTTATGCAGATACTTCATACCACAGGTTTGGGATATGTGAATCCTTTATCGTTCCTTAATTTTGGGGCTCAGCTTATATGCATGTCTTTATGAGCACATGGAAGTTAAAAAAGCATGGCCTTCTGACTTTTCTCGCCTCATGAAGGTTTACGGTACCAATAGGCCCAGTTATCTCTCTTCGTATTTTCGACTGATTTGTTCTCACCTTCAAGTTTTTGATGCGCAAAAGCGTTCATTTCTTATGTTGCTGTGGTTACATCTCTTGTTATTTTCGACTGATTTGTTCTCACCTTCAAGTTCTTGATGCACAAAAGTATTCATTTCTTATGTTGCTGTGGCGCTGGGTTTAGACTGTGTGCGAATCCAAATAATGTGGTCTGGGTGATTAGGTATGGTGACTGGAGTAAACAACTGAGTTCTCTTGTGCGGCTGCAATTATGATCAGAGCCTATATATCGAGAGTGTTCTCTTTGAAAGTGTTGGATTAAGAGTTTGCTTAGGTTGTAAGCTGAACTTATAACAACACTGTATTATGTTTTTCTTGTTTGTGCTCTTCTTTGTTTAAAGGGTTTTTACATCAAACCATCTTTACTTTTACTCAAATTGCTACTTACTATCTTTAAAGTTTTTCTTTTATTTTTTATTTTATCAACACCACCTTTCTTGCTAACACGTCTGCAATGTCACACCTATTGCAGTTTTTAGCCAAAAAAACCTAAAATGACCATTTTACCTATACTAAGATAAGTGCTTTGTATTTATGTCCTAATTGATTATAAATTTAAGGTGTCAACCTAACTTCTCAAATCATAGCCCAATTTCAGAACCCTAATTTCCAATCCCTAGACTCTAACCTCATCCAACACCTCCCACACCCCCCTCCCCCAACCCCCAATCCTCCTCCCTCCTTCCAATCCAAGAAAAAGAAACCCAAATCCTCCCTCAAACCTTAACATCACCTCCCCTCAATTTTCCCTCCTCTCACGTTGATTTGGGGGACTAATTTCAAACTAGGATGATTTTGGTGGTCTAATATCAAAACTTAAAAGATTTGGGGCGCTAAAATTAGGAAAAAATATTTCTTTTTTTATAATCAATTGGACATGTGCTCTCCATGTGTTTGGGGTGAGGGTGTTTTTATCATTTCACGTGTTTTTTGGGCTAAAAATTGCAATAGACATTATGTTGCAAACATGTTAGTAAGTAAATATGGTATTGATAAAAAAAAGACTTTCAATGTGGTAACTAGCAATTTGGATAAAAGTAAATGTGGTTTTGATGTAAAAACTCTTGTTTAAATGGTTGTTCTCTTCTTTGTTTAAGACACTGCCCCTAATAGATCCACGTTGTGGGGTGATCAATTGACAATGATCTGCTCCTCATCATGGATCTCTATGGTGGGAAATTCTCTTTTCTTCAGATATAGAAGTCATCTTTAGTTTGTAACTTGTTTTAAACAAGGGGTTTTTCTATTTTAACCCAAAGTTTACTCCTACTTATTAAAAAACTTACTCAATTATATAAACATTCACAAACCTAAAGTATCCACTCATTTTAAAACCCAATATGTATAACAATCTTTATAGCCTTAAGAGGCGATTCTCAATTCAAGAGGAAGGAAAACAACATTAGCGTAAGTGTGACCATGATTAAGAGCATCACCGGCAAGAATGAGGTGAGCCACGGGCACCATGAGTGCACTACCCACAACATGTCATTATCGTTGCTGAGAAAGAAGTCGGATTTGACCCTTGTATCCAAGGTCCGATGCGGACTCCTTAGGTACTTTCTGACTAATCTGCAGGACGTCTTCCTCAACACTAAGCTCTTCATCCTCTTCCATGCCATCCCCCTCATCGTAGTCGCTCACTCCTTCAACTTCTAGGCAAAGTGCAGCACTTTATGCCGAAGCGTTGCACTTTATTTGAAAAGTATATCTCTTTATGAAATTGTGTAGCTATTTATGCTTGAAGTGGAGCTCTTTAATGCTAAAATATAGCTCTTTATTATCTCTGAAAATTCTAAAACTGAAATAACCGATCAGCATTTTTCTAAACAATGTAAATGTATGATGATGTATTATATAATGTTTGATCAATTTATTCTATAACTGACATGTCTACTCTCAGTCATACAATTTTTGAGAAAAGTGTAGCTCGTTATGCTGAAGTGTAGCTTGTTATGCTAAAAGTGTAGTTCTTTATTCAATAGGATAACACTTTACACCTTATACCTAAAGTGTAGCTCTTTAATGCTAAAGTATAGCTCTTTAATGTCTTTGAAAATTCTAAAATTGAAAATAAACCGAATCAGATTTTTGCGAACAATGTAAATATATGACAACGTATATAATGTGTTGTTTGGTCAGTTCTTTATATAACTGATAGGTTCACTCTCGTTTATACAATTTATGAGAAAAGTATAGCTCTATATACTAAAGGTAGCAGCTTATTATAAACATGTAGCTGTTTATACAATAATATAGCTCTTTATGCTTAAAGCATAACTCCTTAAAGGTGAAGTATAGCTCTTTATTATCTCTAGAAATTCTCAAACTGAAAATAAATTGAATTAGTTGTTTTGAACAATGTAAATGTATGATGGAATAATGTGTTGTTTGAACAATTTTTTATATAACTGATGAGTCCACTCTCATTTATATGATTTCTAGGAAAAGTGTAGATCTTTGTAAAAGCATAACACCCTTATTATAAAAGTGTAGTTCTTTATGCCTGAAGTGTAGCTCTTTAAAGCTAAAATATATCTCTTTATTATCTCTGAAAATTCTATAACCAAAAATATATCCAATCTGTTTTTTCTGACCAATTTAAATGTACGATGATGTATACAATGTGTTGTTTGAACAATTCTTTATATAGTAGACATGCCCACTCTTGTCTATACAATTTTTGGAAAAAGTGTAGGTCTTTATACTAAAGTTGTTGATGTTAAATATCACACAGTCAAATAAAATAACAAAGTTTGCAAGGGGTCGCTTTCTTCTTTGACTTTATGCCTGATTCCGGACTTAGGATAATTGAGAAATCTGCACATAAAGAATCATAAGAGGACAGAGATAAGTTTCCCTGTGGTACCTCCAATGATCAAGTCAGTTGATAAACTTGAGCTTAAGTGGAGTAACGGAACTATGTATTCTTGTTAGAGATGATGATCTCTGAGATTTAGGTTAGGAGGAGAGTTTAGATTGCGTACCGCCAGTTATAGCGAATAACATATGTATTTATAAGGGATGCTGAGGGTAGATTGGTTACTTCGTGAGTATGCAATAAGGCGGTAGTGAGGCGGTGAGGAGGAATGAGTTAGAAAATAAGTCATCATTTGCTCCGCACGTGTTGGCTTGTGAGTAACGGGAGATCACTTCGGTAGCATTAGGAGCCAGCAACCGACAAGTCTTCGAGACAGTTGAGGACGAAGACATAATGATGACCATCAAAGATTAAACAATGTTAAGAAGTGACACCTATGCTGATGAGTTTAAGATAAGGGTAACCCTTTAGCTTCGTCGAGAAGCATGGTCCTTAGGGTCATATCTTTGAGTTGCTGACTTTCATGTTGATCGACACCGCCTTTCGCGTCGACTCAGGAGTGTCGGCCTGTCCGACTGGTTAGAATGTCATCTTGTTTCAGCTAATAGCCGCCTCTCAAGTTGATATAAAGATGTCAACTCGTCTGGGAGGTCAGGATCTCTTATATCGACTATCACTGCTTCTCGCGTCGACACGGGAGTGTCGGCTTATGGGGTTGGTTGAGATGCTTGACTTATCAAGTCATATATTCGTGGAACAGATATGTCCCATAACAATTAGCCCCTTTTACTTGGATTCGGCTTCAGCCGAATCCGAGTAAAATAAATATGATCAAAGGACCAAACAGGAAAAGAGATAGTTTTATTTAAAGAACTGTATTGTATGACATCAGCGGACATCATCATAACTGTAGCAGGGCTGCTCTCCTGGCAGATTATGGGCTTTTCAAGGTAAAAGAGAGTGAGCACGCTTCGTCTTTCTTGAGAATTTTAAATTTTGAGGATAGGTCCTAACCATAAGAGGTAATGAATCCAATGGCTCAAATCCTGACAGTTGTAAGGTCGGGTTTCTTTTTATTTATATATAAAATCACCATACCCCATTATTCTCCTTTCAAATTCTCTTCTGATTAACTGTTCCTCTCCTTCTTCAATCTCTCTTACCCTTTTGCTCGCTCTTCCTGCAACTATCCTTTTGTTCCTCCATGGCTTTAGAAGCGGCTGGTCGTCGAGATTTTCTGGAAATCATTCACTCCAAAGTGACCTTGTCCCAATTGAAGATGATGTCTAAGAAGTATGATATCCCTGCAGGATATGAATTACTCCTTTCGACTAGTTTAGAGGCTGTTCTCGACCATGTGCCTGAGCGACATCCTCTTTACTTGAGGCATATGGAGTACGGCTTAAGATTACCTCTACCCCCCTTTTTGAAGCAACTATTTGAGATATTAGGGGTCTCGCCTACGCAGATAAAACCGAATGCCGTAGCCATCGATGTGGCATTCGTGGTTATATGCCATTGGTTGGCAATAAGGCCTACTGTAAAGATATTTGCTCATTTGGTGGCCGTGAAGGTAAATCAAAAGGAGCCCCATTATCACTTTCAAATAATGGGAAAGTTCAAATTGTTCGGGATTCACACAAGGATTGGAAGGAGATGTTTATGTGGGTAATCGGGGATGATTTAGAGATGCGTTGCTCCGAATGGCCCGAGATAAGGAAAGATGCTCTTGCTAGAATCGCGTTGTCTTTGGAAGAGAAAAATCAAGTTGATTTAATCAAGGGATTCGTAGGCTCCCGCCATTTT